CCCCAAAACCCCAAAACCCCAAAACCCCATATTAGAATCAAGAAATTGGCAAAACAATTATTCAAGTTATTCAATATCAGGATAGAGTGCCTTTAAGCTAATTCCTTCAGAGGTAGCCACAAGTGCATGCTTATGTGATGCTTTGGACTGAGAAGCTCAGTATATCTCTGACTCATATTTGTAAGTCGTGATGGGGTAATCAGACCCAATTTTTGATCCAATATTTGTGAGCAAATATACAGTATCCTTACAAGTAGTCATTATATCTACCCCTGATGGTTTAATGAAGAAGGTTGCAGGGCTAAGATGCAACAAATCGTCCCTTGCTCCCCCAGTTATTGTAACTTTGATGACTTTTGGCTCAGGTAATTTTGATTTCAGTCTTTTGGAAAATGGGCTTTCGCGATCAACTGTCTCTGTCCTGCATAGTATCACTGAGTTTTTCCAAGTTGATAAAATATATCCGAGATCTTTGTTAAGGACAACATTTTTCACTTGTATACTAAGGTCTACTTCTTTACTAGTTCAAGCAGCTTTAGATTTAATGGAAGGATAAAATCTTATCTTCCCATCTTCACTGCCAGTGACAAACTCTAGCCCATGGCTATCTGCGCTGACAAATTTTCCAGACTTGAACTCTTTGGAAGTCTCTGCTTTATGAAATTGATTTTTGAAGTAAGGAACTAGGATCATTTTCTTACTATCTCAAGCAGTGATGCATTCATATTTCTCTAAAGATTAGCTCTTTCATCATACTTTTAAGTAAAGCAGCTGATGAGGTGTTGATGTCACAGATCGGAAGGTTATTCAAATGCACTTGGTCAATTTTCATATGCTTCAAATCGTATCACTGAATCATCTTTGCGTTGCTAGGATCAATGAATACCAATTTTGTTCCATTAGCTAGTAATCAGAGCTTTGAAATCGGCCTTCGTGTTTTCCTAGGCAAGAAATCTAATTCTTCTAACAGGATTAGTTCTAAGGAGTTGGATATTCCATATACTTTCACACCAGTCGAGCTCGGCTGATATACATAGGATTTTGGCTGTGGGATACCTTTTTGGGTGTAAAAATCCACATCAGATGTATTCAGTGACTCAATAAAACATTTACCATGTGATGAGTTAGATGAAGATAGTCGCATAGGGTTTAAATCCTCTTCACTATCACATTCCTTAGATTCCTGGTAATTTCTTGGTCTGCTTCCTGTAAGGTTATATCTTCTCCTATATATAAAACCGTATGCTTACGAGTCTTTTTCATAATGTTTATTAGTCTCAGAAATCATCTCAATATCAGAAATTTCAGAATTTATTTCAGATCATTTCACACTGATTTCTTGAGATGCGCTCGACTCACTAGAAGGTTGGCTGTACCTCTTTTCTGAAGAGTTTAGTGACTGGGAGGACCCCATTTCTTCAGTCTGAGAGTTATACTCAGATCCTTTGATGGACTCACTTTGGCTCTCAGATTTGGACTCCTCGATATCTGGTCTAGATTGGTATAGCTCTAATTCATCTTCGCTTTGATCATTTTCTTCTTCAGCTTCTGCAGAAACTTCTCGCTTCAGAACTTCCAGAAAGGATTGAATTTTGGAGTTAAGCAAGCTGGCATCTTCTTTTGATAAAGATTTAGAGTAAAAACAATATCCTTTATCAATAGCGAACATCAATGAATTAGAATCTTTGTCGAAGTGTAATCAAAGGTCTGAGGTAATCTCAACATTTTTGAGATCCTTGCAAGCCAGCTTCTCATTCTCCTTGGATTTAGACCTAGGTTTTATGGAAATAAATGGACATGAGGGATCCAAGCAGAGAGTCAGTCTGCAATCTTCGCACGCTATTTTGGTAGTTTCACAGTCTTCAGCCATAGAAATTAGCGATCCTTTCATGCTAAATTTATTGCTTTCGTTTGACAATGTATTCTGAGAATTATGAATAGCTCTTTTAGACTTCTTTTTGATTTTCTGAAGTAGTTCAGCAGACACCATCTTTTGAGTATCAGTGAGGGAGTGCTTGAGCTTAGCTTCCTCTCTACTGAATAACTCCTAAACTTTCAGTAAGAAAAACCAAACTAAAATTTGAAGATAACTTGGATAACTTTTATAACAACTTACCTCCTTTTCAGACAGTGTATCTCTAATTTCTTGGTCTTGGAGTTGTACAAAAATCTGTTCAGCTTCAGATCCAGATCCTTCATTAACATTGATAACAATTTGGTATCTAAATAGTGAGTATAGCTTAAAAATAGCTTAATTACCTTCTAGTTGCTTTATCAAAAGCAACTTCAAGACTACCATCTCTCCATATTTTACTCATTCTTCCACTCACTCTTGCTTCTCAAGTTTTCTTTAAGGATATCTCAGCCACAGATTTTTTCTGAACACCAAGATGCTCACTCAGTAGAGAAGACAAGTAGCAGGCTGGTTCTGAGAAATTCTGGTGCAATTTCATTGCCATTTTTCTATATTGAATGAAATTTTTATTTAAGCTTAAGATGAGAAAATTGGGGTTTTGGGGTTTTGGGGTTTTGGGGTTTTGGGG